GCTGCATCCTTGCAGTTTTTCATTCTTGTTGTTTCTGACGCTGTCGTCATAAACGCAGCCTTATTAAAAGTGCACGTAACTTTTATATTAGTGCAGACAGCAACACGCAACTCCGCCCCCAGGTTTTCAGGTGGGCGGGGACTAGTTCCTCTTCAGGTTATATGGCCAAAAAACTAGACTACTTGGCGATGGGAGCCAGAGGATGGCAGTCGCGGCGGAAGCTAACCAGGAAATTATTATCAATGTACGCATAATTCATTAAAACGAGCAACTTTTTGAGGTCTGCAAAGGAAGGGGGTAGGAAGGGGTTGGGAAGGGGTTGGGAAGGGGTTGGGAAGGGGTTGTGAAGGGGGTTGGCAGGCGACATGCCTTCACTGATGATGATGACAACGTCAGAGTGCACTTTGTCATTATATAAGGCCACATATCCACTCATCGAAACTTGTGCACTAGAAGAAGAGTCTAAATGGAACTGCTAAGTTTTCAGAATTTAACCCTTGAACTCAAAAATTAATGAGTGCCAATAATTTATTGGATGGCTAGTCAATAAATATAACAAAAACAATATCTGATGTGAAATGTTTAAAAGCAACAAATGTAATGTATTATCTACTTCCCGAGCTTCTTGCTTGATATAATTATTTATATTGAGTAGGTTTTCCTCAAGTGTATCTCGGAATCGAGAGGAGCCGGAAGGATGTCAGGAAGGAAGGAAGAAACTAACTAACTTTGTTAAAATTTCTCTCTCACTTCCGGTCTTAGGCAAGTGCATCTCCATCCCCCCTCCCTCCACCGCTTAGGCATGTGTGTGGCTTCCATATTCCTCGCTTTTGCCCCTGCCGTTCCCCGTCCTTTCCCCCGCCTTTCTCCTTGCTTTTCCACCACCCCGCTTTTTGCACTCCTCAATGAAGTCATCGTTGTCAAGTTTTAAGCGTGAACTTTTCGCCGCAGCTCCTTTATTTTCCCGCCCCGTTTTCACCACCCACAGTGCATTGAAAATCGTGCGCCTTCTTGCCCCTATTTTCCCCAGGCCCCTTAACCCTTGTCTCACCCCCTCCGCTGGCTGCATCATAATTCGCTATTAGAAGTCACTTAAAAAGTTTTCCAAGTTTTCCATGCAGCTGCCAACATTGTTGTCAGCCACACCCACCTCTGGATTTTCTTGGCCAAAAGTTGTGGGTGGCGCCAGTGGGCGGGGATTTTTTAATTGAATAATTGTAGGCATAATGCCAAGGGTTTTGGCTGAGAAGCGCGTTAACTTTCGACTGCTGTTCCATCTATTTCCCAGGGTTGTGCAATCAACGCACGGATGCATCCTAAGAATTGTATAAAATAACGAAAATAACGAAAATAACGAAAATAACGAATAACTGAATGGAAGAGGACTGAGTTGCGGAAAAATACAAGAAAAACCCCGCTCACTTTTCCGAGTTAAACAGTCACTAATCCCCGGAATTTAATGTGCCGCAAATAAATGCGCCGCCTGAAATGGAATAAAACTATATGCTATATCCGGGACAGCTTTAATTTCCTCAGCGCGAATTCCCTTGGGATAATTGTCAGTTTGTTTCTTCCACCTCTTTTCGGATTAAGTCCCCTTGCTGCCTGAAATTGGCAGACATTAATGGGTTAATTTGCATTAATATATTCAATTGGATGGCGAGGCCACAGGGGAAAAGCTTGGTGGTTCTGAAATGTCTCTTTTGTTTTTATCCCTTTTTTTTGGTTTTTTGTTTTGGGTGCCACTTGTTGTTGTTCTTTTTTCACTGCTTAATTCGATTTGCCAACGCACTGCAATTAAATTTATTTTCAACCAGCCAGCGAAAGTCCTGCTGCCACTTTTCGTACTGAAATGCATAATTGCATTTTAAGCGCTCACAAACAAAGGCAACGCACCCAAACCCCTTCCGATCCCTTGAATTTCCACGCGATTTTCCTCTCATTTCTCCACATTTTCCACCGCAAGTCAACTGAAGCTGAAATCATCATTAAAGTAATTATAACTGTCAATGAAAGGCTTGCAAAGTGCAGATAAGGATTTATAGGTGGAAGGGGGTGCGGGAGGGGAAGACAGCATCATAAAGGTAATTGGCAGTTTAATGATCTCCCTAAATTTGCACCTTGCCAAAACAGAGAACCAATTCTCAGAGGGAATTCCCCCGGTGGCTTTTCTCTTTCCTCAGGCGCCGAAAGCAAAAGTCCAAACAATGAACAGACGCTCTCTTTTTCAGCCCCTTTAGATTTCTCGCTTCGACGGGGGAAATCTAGACAGTGGGCAGTGCTTTTCCTTCTCCCCCTGCCGCTTTTCTCCAGCCCCCTTTTCCCAACGCCCCTGCCACGCCTCGGTGCACTTGCTTGGCGTTTCGGCACTCGTTGAGTGATTAACGTGATTTGCTTAGGCGCACAGTGGTCACTGGCATAGGTGAAGAATGTACATAACATTTTCCAAATCAGAGTTAAGTTCAAAGCAAGGAGTTATACAACATAAAGACGCGAATTCTTGAGAACTCTGCGAGAAATGGTCAATAAATGGGAGAGACAACGAAACCTTTATTAAAGCTGTTAAGCATCTTGTATTGCATATTAAATTGTATAAAATGTATAAATGAAAAAAGGTATGCAACATTATGACGCGAATTCTTGATAGTTCTTTTAAAGAAAAGGTCAATGAATGAGAAAGACAACGTAACGTTTATTAGAGCTGTTAAGCATGTTGTATTGGTAGTTTATTTTGTACTAATTTATTCCCTATAAACTATATGAATGGACCAAAAATATATTTATTTATTTTTTTTATCATGTCGAAAAACCACTGTCTATTGTTCCACTTCTATTTGTTATGTGGTTTTTAAATATTTGTATATATTCTTTTTATTTCCGTTGTGGTGGTGGGCATTGCAGCTTACTCTTCTCTTCGACGCTTTTATTTTGACTTGTTGGCTTTTCTGCGTTACGGGTTATTCCTACCTGCACATATACTTTTTGATATTTAAAACTTTTTTTTTCTTTTAATAACTGAGGTAAGTGTAGCATGACGGCCAAACAAGAACGGAACAAGAGTAACGACAAGGAACCCAAAGGTTCTTTGGGTCTTGAAAGTTATGAGCAAGAGATGAGTAGGTAAAAAGTGCCACAAGTTCAGTTTTGACAAGAAAATTAGATGTACGAAAATATAAGCGATACCTCAGAAATACACTTTGTGCTCTTTAACTTGATGACACCCCAAAAACACACTTCACACATTGAAGTGCGTCGGTGAAGAGCAGGGCAAACAAAAATAAAATAAAATAAAGAACGCTAAGCGCCGAACGAAACTGAGCTAACCATTTTTGGTGTTTGGCCAGCGACCTTGACCTTGGCGGCGGGGGTTGCGGCTGGGGGCTGGGGGCCTCCCTCGAAGGTCGGCACATAGTGTTGTAGTTTCGTTTTAGCCGCATTCAAATTGAAATGCCAATTGGGATGCATTGCGCGCTTAATTACGCAACATTTATGGAAACGAATACGCGTAGTGGCTCAAAGTCAAGTGCAAAAGGCGAAGAAACGGGAAAAACAAGGCAAGCCGATGTTAATATACCTTGCAGATATAAAAAATGATGAAATAAAAAATATATATTTACTTTTTGATCTTAAACAGTATCTACGTTTTCAAGATAGCATATGTTTTATTCACGACTTTCTGTTATTCCTACTGCTCGCATAGTAATATTCTTTTAATTCTGGTGATGGATTACGATATAAAAATATAATAAGAATTTAACACCCTCTGCAAACGCAAAAGGCATGACACCGAACTTATTAAAATGCTCGGTACGTGCTTAAACTATCCGCTATCTCTCTCGCACACCTGTTGTTCAAGTCATATTTCACAGATATGCACAAATACCCATTACATATATATTAAACTATTTGTTTTCGATTAGTATTGGCTTTGGCCAATAATTAATTGCTATGGCCAAAAGTAAATGTTAACTTAACATAGATTCCTGCAGCAGCGAACTTGTTCGAGCCGAATCGAGCAATAATCAAACTGTTGCGCTTGAAACCGGCCGTTGCGCACGCGTACGAGGTTGCGTCGAACCACGCGCGAAGGCGAGCAACAACAAACCGTTTGAGCGGGTCAGGGATTAGAGATGGCACGTTAGCCATCGAATATCTAGCTATTTGGCTATTTTTATAAAAATAAAACCCAGGCTTATGACTCAATTTATTTGTAGGTAGGTATTTGTGTTTCAAAATAGTCTGTAAGTCACGAAATTCAGCGACCTTAATAAAACCCATCTTACAGAAAAACTTGGATAAACTACAAATACTTTATTATTCATTTAAATTAAATTCGTTGCAACTATAATCAACTGTGTGAATAAATTAATTAAATAAGAAATACATTGATTCAAAAAGGATTTATTTCAAATGTTCAAAGATAAATACATTTATCGTTTTCTAGCCAAGGGTGGCGCGGAACAACACTAGTTTCTTTCGAACCAGTTGGCTGCAACCTTTCGGCTTTGTTTTTGTCCAAAGGAGTTCGAACCGGCGGTCGTGCGTGCCCGCCTGCAATGCAAGAAAACCAAAACCGGTGCCGCGAAATAGAAAAACACGCCTTCGGTTTGCAAAAATGTTGCTTAAATTAATGCACTGAAAAAAAGATTTAAATGAAACGTAACTTTTTTCTTGTTTTTATGCAGTGATTAGATATGAATTTAAATTATTTTATAGAGAGCCTTTATCTGATAAACTTTTGGGAGATATATATAAAATTTATGGGAGTACTTGTACTGTGCCTTTTCTTGTCGAAAATTTACAATTATTTTTAAAATGCTCAAAGTAGTTATTGAAGATCAAATATTTTCTAACAGTGGCTGCTCTGCCAAAGCGTTAAGCTTAACATTTTGAACGGACGAAGTTCACCGCTGTTCGAAACCAGAAGTTCGATGTTTGCAGTTCGATAGCGACATGTTGCATGCAACGCGTCGGCGGTTAGCTCGGATTGGGTTGTGTTTTTCAACAGTTGGGTTTCCAGCTCGGCCGCGAAAAGTTGGAAATTTCAGAGAATCCAGGGAGCTGCTCATAAAGTCCCAAAAATCCATTTTCGGATCGAAAGTACTAAAAATATTACGAAAAATATTTTACAAATGCCTTAAATTTATTTTGGGCAAGCAACAGTTATAATTTAAAGAAAAAAGAGAAGGCGGAGCTAAGTTTTTATCGCGCGCGGTTGTGCGTCGCTTTTCGACTGCGATTTTGCGATTTACGATTCGAGATTAGCGATTGTTGTTGCCGATTCTGGGTTTATTCGAATTGAATTTCAACCGTCGGGAATTTTGCTAAACGCGAAAATGCAACAGTTTTGAAATAAGCCGAGCCCAAAGGACAGAAGCGGAAGGAATATTCCCCTTTCTCACGTGTTTGCTATCGCCCTCTCTTTCGACGCGCGTGTGTTGGTGAATGTGCGTTATTATTTTTTTATCTCGCCGATCAATCGAGTAACACAACAAAAATTCCAGAAGGGAATAATATTTCGAGTGCCGTTTTTTTTTGTTGTACTACCAAAATTATTACATTTTTTTATCGTGTTCAAGTGTGCTGTTTTATATTTTGGAAAATACAACAACCAACAGAGGGGAGAGGCAAATAAGAAAGGAGAAATAAGAAAAAAGAAATTAAAAAAAAACCGGATTCCCTACAGAAACAAAAACAACTAAAGAAGCAGCATCAAAGAGAAGAAAAGGAAGAAGCAGCAGCACAGGCTTCAACTTCCAGTATTTCCAATCGTTGTAGTGTCTGCGCACACGCACTGGAAGCCCCGAAGAGAAGAGGATCACTTTAGGCAGCTGCTCTCTCTCTCTCTGGAAAACTGGCGAAAAGGAGAAGGTGAGTGAAATGGTCTCTCTTTGGCCTCCTGTTTGCGTGGGTGCGAGCGAGATGGCGCAGTCGCAGCCGTTTTCCGTAGTTTAATGGAATAGTTGTTGATTTGTTGCAGAAGATTTTAAAGGGTATTAAAATCTTCGACAACAAATTAAGGGTATAATGATTTCAGTCAGAAGTAGACGTTTCCGACCCCATAAAGCATATATATTCTTGATCAGCATCACTAGACGAGTCGATCTAGCCATGTCCGTCTGACTGAGCGTCCCTATCATATAGCTGCCACAGGAACGATCGGATAATTAATGTCAAAATAATACAAAGACCGTTATATTTCGTTTTCGGTAAACATACCCGGTAGTGAATTGAAATGGATCATTATCTTCAAATTTCTGGAATTAGTTTTCTAAAATACGAAATGCAAGGTTATAATAACTTCGGCTTGGCGAAGTTTGATTCCTTTCTTGTTGCATATATGTAATTACAATTATTATCTGAATATGTAAAAATCCAAGTTTTAAGTGTTTTAAGTGGTTCTAAAAACTTAATTGCCCTTAAAAAAATTCTTATAAAACTGAATGAAAAATTTGAATTTGGAGGTTCCTTAAAAATCTAAAACAATTTGGGCAAACAACTTTGCAATTTCAGAGGTAGCTTTTTGGGCCACGATAATAATATTTATTTACATATTATTGAAAATATATGGCTCTGATCTTGCTTTTGGACCCCTGAGAGGGTTATATGTACAGCTGCGGCAACAAAAATAGCACCAGTGTGTAGGCAATTCTTCTTTGTGCTACAGAATGGTAATTTTTTGCAATATTTTTATTCTGTTTGTAAGGGTAAGTAGGGTTACATATCTATTAACTAAAATAAAAGTGGTTACGCCCACAATGCGGATGGTTTTTAAAATTTCGATACATTTATCAAAAAAGTAGCAAAGTTATGCGGCAACAAAAATAGCACCACTTAAATAAAAAACTTAAAAAACTTAAAAATAACGCGATTTGAAAATTTTTTTTGATTGAAACTTATGATTTCATACACCTTAAGGTAAAAAAATATTGTTCTAAAGCTTGGGCTGCAACAACAACAACAACAACGACCGACCTTGACGTCACTAGACACCAGAATCTTCCCTTGGCAAAATTGTTGTCTGGCTCTTTCAAAATAGCTCGAGGGCAGTTTTTTTTCTTCGGTTTTGCATTAAAAACATAGTTTTTAACATTTCTGCAAAGATTTTCGATGTGTTTTAGTTCTGGGGCTTGTAAGGTCCCCATTATACCATTTAGCTTAAGGGTTTTAAAACTTTGTACGACTTTCTGACTGATTTTTTTTGGGTTATAACCGTGGTAAAGCTTCGGAAATAAATTAGTTTTGTATTACGAATAAAATTGCATCACAATTTCTGAGCTATCAAGGTGAACATGTTGATCCTGTATGGGTTTACATTATGATATGGTACCAACATTATAGTACGAGAATATGCCCATACCATTATACTTGCTTCACCATTATTATTCTTTGCAAATGTGAAATGGGGACTCAATTTTGGATATGTAGGTTACCTGATGTGAATTTAAAGTCTTTTTCATCTAAACATGAGCAATTTTCAGCCGCCAGACCATATAAGAGTGTTCCTTTTATTGTGGGCCTTATTTAAAACTCGCCCTTCAAATTCACCCATGCTCTGCAGTCTAGGGAGATTTTTTTTTTGGACGTCAAGCGCATAATTGATTTTTATGTACATTATATCCAACTTTTTATGTACTTACAAATATTAAAAAAAAAAAAGCGACTTGATAGGCGCCTAAAACGGGACCTACTTGCATTCATGCAAATGACTTTTTAACAGTTATGGGGTCATTGCGGCTTTCGTACTGCGTGCTATTCTTTTGTGTTCTTGTTTTAGGTAACTACTAATCATTATTTTAAAGAATTCAACGATTCAACTTAACTTATCTTTTGCATTGCCTTTATAAATTAGCTTTTTAAATGTCCTTCTATCTGTATCATTACAGCGCGCTAAATGACCCATTGGGAACACTATTTTATGCATTATTTTACCAATTCACTTAGTAGTACTTATTCTTAATACAACAAAACGAAAAACAGCCAACAAATCTGAGCAAATGAAGTTTTATACCCAAAAACCGTTAATAGTGCTATTTTTGTTGCCGCATAATTATGCTACTTTTTTCATAAATCTATCGAAGTTTTAAAAACCATTCGCATTACGCCCACAACCATTTTTACTTTAGTTAAACGATATGTAAACCTACTTACCCTTACACACAGAAGAAAAATATTGCAAAAAATGACCATTTTGTACACAAATAAAAATTGCCCACACTTTGGTGCTATTTTTGTTGCCGCAACTGTACATAGATGAAGTAAACCGGGCTCACACGACTTTATTTATTCTGGTTCTGATCGCATTTCACACTTGCTCTCTCTTTTTTGCCGTTTTTTTCCTTCCCAGTGTAAAATCGAAAGTTGTAGAACATAGAGAATAGTTTCTTGTCATCTTCAGTTCAGTTTTCTACTGTTCCCCTGCTGCTCCACTGATCCATTTGTGGGGTGATTTACAGGGAAAGGTTTGGTAAAAAGATAGAAAAAGTCATTTCCAATAGTCGAGGTGTCTGGTGACCATAAAAACGGCTGACATAATGAGCTATAAAGAGGCAGGAAGATGGTGAAAAAGCTCAGAAACTGAGTGGGCCATGCACACATATCTTGAACACTTTTTGTACTATAAGTATGTAAATATGCTTGGGGCGCCATGAAAAAAAAATAAGAGAAGCAAATAAAAATGCGGTTGGCATTGCACTTTGCTTTGGTCGAGTTTTCCCTCTGCCTTTCGCTCTCGTTTCTGGCCACTTTGTTACAGTTTTGCGATTTTATACCCGACTAGGCCTACATATTTATATTCATGTTTTAAGCTGCCCAGGGAGCACTTAATACTTAGCAGCTGGGCGCTAATTTCATGGGGAAATATATAAAAATTAAGTTAAAGTCGCGAGCTTGGCGAGCAAAGAGTTATACAATATAAATTTGTTTATAAGCCTTATAACTTCAAGCCTAAAAATTCTAATTCATTTTATACTTAAAATCCATAGTTAAATTTTAATCAATGAAATAACTTTAAGGATTGTTCAGTACTCGATTTCATTTCGAAATTGTAATTCCCTTGATAGGCAATTGTATTGAAATATCGATAACAGTGAGGCACCTCGTTTAATGCCGTTAATTGAATTAGCACCCGCACATAGATACGTACACCTACACACACACAGCTACCTACTGAATAACAACAAAACGCCAGCGGCAACAACAAATTGGATTAATGCAAACGAATCGAATCGCCGAACAAGAAAGAGCAAGAAAAATGTGTAAAAACTACAAAATGGTAAAACGATGGTTTTTGATGCAAACAAATGGCTAAAACACAGCTACCAAAAAGCACAGATACAGATACAGATACAAAATGTATCTTTCATAATCGACCTGGTCGAAAGACAGAGACACAGATAGAGTTAGCGATGGAGAGAGAGGGAGATGGGTCGAACACGACATGATAATAACGGTTTCACAAATTTAGTTGTTTCTTTTTTGACTCTGTTTTGTTTCGTTTTGCTTTTCGACTGTCCTTTCACCCAGCATCTTCTTGGTTTTTTCCTTTTCGCATTTTACAACAGTGTTTTGATTAGAACCTTGGTCGAACACCTCTCATGATGATGATACCCTCTAACTCCATTGACTTCCCCCACTTACTTCCCCTTTTCCGTTTATTGGTTTTCCTCGTTTTGGGTGATATTTTCTAGTGGCTTAACCATTGCTCTAATCGATTTTTTATTTACCAATGAACATGATGGTTTTTCCGTCTTCATTTATGATTTTTTTTTGACCATCTTCGGCGCATAACTATCTGCCGATTGACAGTAAATCTGGCATAAGTAAATTTACACATTTCGGTGTATTTTCATCATTCATTTATCATTAAAATGTGCTTGAAATATATAGCATAAATCTTTATTATTTGATCGAACTTCTTTTATTTGTAATGTGGTGCTTAGGGCTAGATCTCTCTCCCATTGTTTGCTATAATAGATAATACCACTGATCGGATCTCTTAAATGAAATATGGTTCAAGTTGCAGAAAATTATTTTGCTGATTGATAGCGAAGAAATGACATGTATAGATATCGAATCCATCAAATTGGATGAGTTTGCAAGCCCGATTTCTTTGCGCTCTCCAATCACTCACTGCCTTTTTTCATCAATGTTGCAAGTAAATCGCCTCAAATTACGCGGATCTGCGAAATTGTAGCTAAAATGCAAATTCATTATGCGGATATGACATGGATCCCTCCATTTGCCGCCCAAAAAAAAAAAAGTCACGAACTTTTGTAGCTGAAATGCGAGATGTTCCAATGAAATTTAGGGTAAAGTGGAAAACGGGGTACAGTGAAGCTCATTAACAACAGCTGCTGTAACACAGCGTTAACAACGCACATCGAATATCAAAGAAAATACCCAATAAATCTGCTGGCAATTTTTTGGGCCTTATAAAGACATCAATCCAAAATTGGGATGGAGCGTAGGGCTGGAAAATAATCAAATCAAATCAAAAATACATCAAAGTTTGTTTTTTGCTTTTTGTTTTCTGTTTAATTAGTCGATCGGGGGGCGCGTGTGTGGATAATGTTTTTATTTGCCAGCAGAGAGAGTAAGTAGATCCCGGGGCATCGCGAAATTTGTACTTTCCCCTCGTTAAGGTTTCCAGATTCGACTAATGATATAATGAAATCGCATTCACGTTGCCACTGAATGAAAGGGAATCGGAATCCGCATCTGAATGTAAATCTTCTCGCTGCCTGATTAATTGGGCAACCCGCGAAACTCTTAATTTGTCGCAGTCGCCGTTCATATCTTGCAGTTCACCACAAACAAAGGCCTAATTAACCGGAGGTTACTTTTACTTTAGTCGTCAATCGTTAATCGTT